TATATATATATATATATATATATTCCGATCTTATGAAAATATATGACAAATTCATGTTTACAAGAATCAAACTTGTTATCAAAGGCATATAAATGTTTATCATGTCACAAGTGACTGATAAGCTAATTTTCTTTTTTCAACTTTTTTAGTTTGTCATTTTAACAAACTAAAAAATATAGCTTATAAACTATATTTTTATAAAGTTAATCAATTTAGTATTTCCAAGATTTTGTTTAGTTTTTTCTTAAAATTCTCCTTAGTATTTGTTATTAATTGTATATATAAAAATAAACTCAATCTCTTGCATGTCATTTTATATATTTTAGCTATTTTATCGGCTAGTTTAAGAAACATCATTTATTAACTAGTTTTCATAAATCAACTAACTTTTCAGTTAGAAGCGCCAAACATAACATAAGTCAGGTTTGTGATCCAAACTCCAAAACGTTAGATTTTTCCAAAAGAGAGTATGTACCAATTTGTTAAGTGAAAAAACACAAGATATTTTACTTATTTGGATAGTTAAACATAAGGCATAACTCCAATTAAATAATTAATCAATAATGTCACAAGTATTATGTACCAGAAGATTAGTTATTAATCATAAAATCTTTGCTCTTTTCATATTAGATTTCTTAACAAGGCAGCAATCGTGACACCCAAAGATAGATTCAACCCAGATGGGTCGACATCTGACCCATGGAACCTATGCAGCATCCAACAAGTAGAAGAATTCAAATGTGTTATAAAAGCTGGACCCATATGGATTGGAGTCATAACATACTTCATGGTAATGATCCAACAAATGCAATATGCTGTCTTCCAAGCCCTTCAATCCAACAGACGTTTGTTCAACACCAACATTCAAATTCCTGCAGCTTCATACAACATCTTCACAATGCTCACTATTGTCATATTTGTACCTATATACGATCGTCTCATTGTCCCCCAACTGCGTCGTATCACAGGTAAAGAAGGTGGAATATCCCTCCTCCAAAGAACCGGGTTGGGGATATCATTAACAGTCATAGTTTCTCTAGTTTCAGCTTTGGTGGAAGAGAAAAGGAGGAATCTTGCCTTTACGGAACCAACTTTAGGGTACCAACCCCACAGAGGGGAAATTTCATCGATGTCAGCATTATGGCTAATTCCGCAACTCTGTTTTGCTGGGTTGGCTGAGTCCTTTACTGCAATAGGTTTACAAGAGTTTTACTATAGACAATTTCCGGAGAACATGAGAAGTGTTGCGGGTGCTTTCTTCTTTAGTGGACTTGCAGTATCGAGTTACTTAAATGGTTTGTTGGTGACAATTATTCATCGGACAACCAAAGGGGCTGCCACCGGAAATTGGTTGCCTGAAGATCTTAACAAGGGTAGATTGGACTATTTCCATTTTCTAATGACTTGTATTGGGATCATGAATCTAGGCTACTTTCTGTTGTTTTCAAGTTGGTATAGATACAAAGAAACTAATTGTTCCCGAGATGGTGGTGCCATGATGGAGATGGAGAAAAAACTTGATAAATCTTTGGTTTGAGAAACAAGGTGAAAACTATAATATGATGAACATTGGGTAAGAATTGAAATATAAATCTTCCAATTGCATAAACGATAACAAATAAATGTAATTAATGTATCATTAGTGTATCCTAGATCCTCTGGTATTTGAGTATTTCATGTTTCAAGATATGTTTATTAGGTGAGTGGATGATAGAAAGCATATTTTAGTGTATCGTGCCAAACCACAATGGCAATACTAACACTTTTGTCTTCTTTTTCAAATACATTACATTGAAAAATAATATATCCTAAATCCTTTGTATTTCATGCTTCTAAGATATGTGTTTTATGTTTTTGTTTGAGATCGATGGTCCAAGTCTCGTCCGAGATATAAATAAAATTAAGAGTAGCTTAGTAATAGATTAGATATGTTGTTTTAAAAAAACCGATGGATAATTTAAAACATATCCTAGTGATTCGTGCCCAAAAATGCAATGACATTTGCACACTGTTTTGTGTTCTTTCCCAAATACAAAGTTAGATAATACTTAGTTCACTAAAAAACATATTTCTAATGGTAGTTTTCATGGGAAGTCCATCATTAAATAAATTTTACCAATAGAGTTTTTTGTCGTAAAACCCCTTATGGGTAACCCGATTTGATTTTCAATTGATGTGGGTTAACCCAATTTAACCATTTATGACAGGCTATATATGACCTAGTTTGGCTAGTTTTAACTTTTTTCCTAAGGATTTATGACGCAATCTTAGTTACAGATGTGACTATTTTCTATGGAATTCCAATGGAACATTAGTTGATCATATGTGACTTTTTTCTTACGGATTTATGACATATTTTTTTTGTTTTTAGTGAAAGATATTTTCGTCACTAAAATAATTTTTTTTAAATGTAAAATTCTAAAAAATACTGATTATTTCTACCTCTACCTAAAATGCAGGAAAAAAACGTAATACACAAAACATATCATAATATTATATTGAAAAACAAAATTAATAAACATTACAATAAACCTTGCCCAATACATTAGAAGTGTCAAATAGAATTACAATTACAATGTTTACAAAACTAATAACTATTTAGTGGATTACCGGTTGGTTGCATTGTCTCATAAAGACTGTCATTTGTTGTTCAAATTATGTTTTTCTTTGTTGCATTTGAAAATCCATTTGATTTTTTCGACGTTCCAAATCATTTTGCATATCAAGTTAAGTTTGTTGAAAAGTTTTTTTCATGCTCTGGTTTGTTGTTTAAATTACTAATTGTATATGTTTAACGTACCTAAAAAAGTGGTAAGTTAAACACACACACACACTGTTTGGTTCAGAAATGTCCTAGTATCCGCGATGCGTATGTAAGGTTTCCTAGATGCATTCGAACGTCGTAGGCCCTAGAGGGTTGAATTTGTTATATGTACAAAGATAGTGCCTTTCCTAACACCAATTGGATTTAGGAGAGTTGGTAGCGCCTGGGGTCCAATAAGTGGTATCAGAGCTATGATCATGGGTTCGATTCTCTCAAGGAGCAATTTTTTAGGGGAGACC